TACTTATTCAGCATTTTATTGTGTAGTCTGACTACTTACCCAAGTACCATACCCAATGTAATTGGAATGCATGTCCAAGTCACGTGACCAAAGAACTGTAACTAATATAACTTTATACACACTATTTAAAGAGACTTTCAGCAAGGTTTGACAACCGTTCCAATTACAATGGGTACGGTTCTTGGGCAGACAGTAAAATTACAGAACAATACGCTGATAAAGAAACGTTTTCCCCTGTCTGCAGAAGCTCTCAAAATTTAACCGGAAGTGGTCTGTTATTTGGTCACGTGACACATTTCAAGTAAAACAACAACGTTAAGTTATCTATTAAGTGGAGATGTAACCTGCAAACAAGATTTGTCCACATTGTATGAACCGTTTCCAAGATTGACCACCCCCTAACTTTTTGACTAAGGAAAAGATGACCCAGCCCTTAATATACCTGAGTATGTTGTTAAACATTAACAGGGCTTGCAAAAACGTGTTTTTCATCTACGATATCCGTGTACCAAGGTACGAAAATTGCCTCAAAAATGCCCTATTTTTAGGTTGTTTTCAAAGTGCAAGAACTAGCAATTTTCGGGCGCTCCTAACCGGACGTGAAAATGTATTTCTTTGCAATATTTTTACATCGTTGTGTTGTAGTTGTGATACCAAACATGCATGCAAAAGATCATTTTAATAGACCTAGCCGTCTTTTTCTGAGACTGATGTGATTATGTTTAAATTTTCGGCTGAATTTACTGCCGCCGCAGCGCGAAAACCGCAATTCTCCTTTTTGATGGATTTCTCAAGATCAAAAACTCTCTGGCAAGTTTTAGTCTTATTTTCGAAAATAGTTCACGAAAGGGTTTCTCCTGGCAAAATATGAAAAAATCCGTGATTCCAGTTTTGAAAATCAATTCTCGATATTTACAGTCCCCTGGTTTTAAGATCTCTTACGTTTGTTGTGACTAATTTTGTTATGATATGACAAATTCCTGATAAAAATTCTTTTAGGTTAATAAAACGGAACTTGGAAAGTCTGGATGTTATTTTCTCGTATTTTACAAATATTTACCTTCTTGGTGCTTTTTTTCACAATTTCCGCCAAGCAATATTTCGCAGGAGGTGTTTTTTATCTTTATTTTTATTTTTTATTTTATTTTATTTTTTCGCGAAACTTATAATTAATTTGTCAATTCGCGAGAAACGCGAAAGTTAAGATGCGCCAAAATACATACAAATACGTTTTGTTCCATTAAGACGAGAGAACACGATTATCACATAGTTATGTAAGAATACGAAAATAAATCGAAATGCAGCATTTGCAAGCGTTTCTTGGTGTTCAACACCAGATAGCGCTTTGGTATTTTTCTGTATTTAACTCAGATATTTTACTGTCATATCTTTTATCCATGTATAGCAGCAAGATATATTTACTTACCAGAGGAAACTTTATATATTGTTGGAATATGTTCAAATTAGTAGTCGTAATGTAAAGCTGTGAAGCGACAGCGGCAAGTTCGTCTGTAGACATCCCAGAAATTAAGCTTTAACCACAATGTTTTCAACTGAAAAGGAAGTCTCTTAATTAGAGGATGATGACTAAACTTGATTGACAATAAGAAGACAATGAATGTAATATAAAAACGGACATAAATAAGGGACCCATGTATTATGCCACAGAGTTTCGAAAGTGGCGATCCCCACTCTTAAAGATGATTTCCAGTCCGTACTGCGCACTGTCGAGAGTTTGTTTACGAATTTTGCGTTGTTTCCTGTAAGACATCACAAAGTGTAAAGTAAAGTAAACTGTGAAGCAAAGTAAACTCTGCAAAGTTTTTGCGTTCATTTTGTGTTTACAGCAGGCCAAATTTTTCGATGAAGACTGTTTGTTTGTTTTTGCACTTCACACTCTCTCGATACGCTTAAAGAGCAATTTCCTCCAAGAATATCTTGTTTCCACTTCAGTGGATGTCCATTCTGCCATTCTGTCTTGGCCTCTTGGATGATTGATTTCTGTTTTTTTTTTTTTTTTTTTNATTACAGCTGCCTTCACGATAATCCTAGCTACGTTTAACTTTCTGGTTGTATTCGCAGGCAGGAAATTCTGGCGTTTTATTTCAGATCTGACCCTGTATATTTGGGGGACATTGATTTCTTTTTTTTTTTTTTTTTTTTTTTCCGTGAATTTTTTCTATGTAGTAAATTTGTCAAATTCTTTTATATACCGTTATTTTATTAATCTCTCAGTCTTTTAACCAACGAAAACAGTAACATGAATTCAGGTTGTGGGAAGTCTATTGAATTAACTATATCTTGCATCGAGAAAAATAAATATAATTAAAAGCAGATTGGTTACCTGTAACATTAAAAATCATTACACAAAACGGAGTTGAAAATGTTAGTGAGGTTATGCTTTACGGCCCCGTTGGCTCAGATAATGGATAACGAATCAACGACGGGTGCATATTCCAACGATTAGTTTGCACAGCGGTGTTCAAAATCCGAGTGAACGATGCGATGGGATGTTTACCCAAGGGGAGAGAATTAGCGAGAATTGTTGCCGTGAATACCGCAAGCTTATGATTACCTCCAGTCAAATCATGCAAAATGAAAGTCTCTAAATCCCTTCTCTCTAGCTTCCCTGGCGCCCAGGATACACTGGATATCGTAACGCTCGTGACTAAAATTCTGAGTGATATCTGTATGAGTGAAGCGGTGTTTTATTTTCCAAGTTTTGTACATAATCTTATAGGAATTTTTTTATTTGTACATCCTCCAAGGCTTTTTCGTTGTGTGTATGGATTTTTAACAAAATCGGCATCTTCAGTATACCCTACTCTTTCAGGTGGAAACTCTTAATAAAATAGACAACCTGAAAATATGGGAACAAGAGACTACCAGGTCATTAATTTCTGAAAGAAATGGTAAAAGAAAAGGAAGGGAGAATTAATCAAATAAGCCCTTACTATGGTGAATAATTTATAAGAAAATAATGCCTCCATGCAAGCGCAGTTAACAAATAAAAAGTGATTGTTCTTTTTTAATTGTTTATTTTTTTACTACGTGCGTCAGATTTGGAACGATTCAGCTGCAGCCTTCTCTCATTGGTTAACGAGCCAGGTTAGCAAACTCTAAAGCTAGATCGAACAGGATGCCATAGTTGTGGGAGAACGCTTAGCATCTATAACTCTTTATCCTATGGACCAAAATTTGGACAAGGACAAGACATATATTGTCAACAACGTTGAAACACCGCAGGCCGCCAGCTGGCAGCAGCCATTGATATTCTTTCACAAAATTATTCCTGCGGAGTACTGATATCTTTCGACCTGACGGAGTCGAACTCCTCTATGAAACTACCTGAAGGAATAACGGAGCTGTAAATCGTAGTCTTTCATACTTTCGTACTCTTCAGTAAAATTAAACCTTTGCAGATATTTTAGGGTATACATAATCTGTTTGTTAATTATAAAATGCTATATTAGAATTTTTTTCGTTACTTCAACTGTGCCATTCCAATGCCCAATTCCCGTTTTGAGACACCACTGTAGGAATCCTTGTTGTAGTATTCAAAGTTCCTTAGTCTTGAACTTATCTTGTTACATGCAATTAAAATGATATACGCGAGCACTAATTTGTTCGAGAGGAAATTGGGAATTCCACAACAACGAACGTCTTAAAACCATTTCAGCATACAGTCGAACCGCCGGTTGCGACCTCCTCCCGTAAGCCGGACCACCTCTCCTCAGCAACCAGCTATCCAAATACCAAAACTTTCCAAGTCAAACCATTATATTTGGAACGTCTTGTAAGCGAACCCTCTCGTAAGTGACCGCGACCACTTTTAGAGCTAAAATTGTGTATTTAACCTCCCGTAATTAAGCGACCACTTGACAGATAAGAGAGCAAAAAATGGATAATAAGGTGTTGTAACATTATCGCATTTCAGGGTAGTACAAGAGACGGAAATTTTTCAATGGGAAGTATCGGATTTTTTCTCGAAATTGACTTTTCTCAAGAATAAAACATTTAAAACATGAGGCAAGTCTCTGCAGTTACCATATATATGCTAACGAGGCAAATTTTGTCCCAATATCGTCAAAGTTCTCATAAACGGCTACTTCCCGTAAGCGACCACCTAGGCTTGACATTTTGGGTAGTCGTTTGCGGGAGATTCGTAAAAGTAGCTTGATTAACCCACTGCAGAGTGGCTAAGTAGCATACATATAGAATATAATCAAGACAAAAACAGTTCTACAAGGATTACCATTAAGCATTCACGGCGTTTGGTCTTCTTGCTTCAGCACTGTCAGTTGAAATGGGATGAGCTGAATTAGATTAAACACTTTATTTAAACACGGAGCTTAACATAAAAAAACACAGTTTTCCTCTTCCCAAAATCCTTCATTCTAAACTGAATACTGATCTCAAGCAGAAAAATATTGCGGTCAACAAAGAACAAAAGATATTCAAGTTATGTTTACAATATTTCCAGTGTGTTCCTTGTTTCCTCGCGTTTCCTGTCTTTTAGCTAAATTCGTTCGACGACCCTCGAGAGTTAAACCAGGTACAGCTGTCAGCCTCGTATATTTGACTTTTATGTTTTTTCTATAAAAGCTTCAATGGTGAAATGCCGAAGAACAAAGCCGACGTTCAAAGGTTTACCCGCGGACGTGTAGCTCAGAACAAACTTTTTCTCATATCAGGCCCGCGTCAAAGTTAGAAGGCCCGCGAAAAGGGCAGCGGTTGCTGCTTCACTGTTATTATTATTTAAGACAGCTCGAATCATTACAAACTTCGACAACGAGTCACATACTAAAATTACAATGTCTTTCAAACTCTGGTAGCTGATATTACAATTGCGACAAGTATTAAACATCACGCCAACTGCACTATTACAATCATGATCTGCAATAATAGGTATGACGTACAATATTCCGCAACAGTAAATGAGTTTGCTAATTTAAAGGAAGTGTCACAAAGCCCCTGCTCTCAGTTATAATCGGCGTTTGTCCACTAGCATCACTGCTGCTAGCTAGCCAAACATTATCCTTCTTGAATTGCCTTTGAGACGAAAGAACTAAAAAAAACGTCCAGTGCGGTTTCACATGGACTATTCTGCGTTCTTCCTTATCGTTTCATGCATTTCAGTGATGCCTGATCCAACTCTTGCAGAGGGTGAGTTCAAAAAATATCCTTTATGCCCATCAGTTTGCTATTTATATATATATGTAACCTGCGGCCACCAGCTGTATTCTAACACACGGTATTTTCAAGAGAATTAGAATTCGAGAAATTCAGGAAGCTGGGCATGTTAAAAGTCTCTCTGTATACATGAAAGAGATGCCTTCGGCTCCACATCAAATAATGAAAGAAACGCCTGAATTTTTGTTTGGGGGAAAGCCTTTAGTTCAAAGTAACAAACCAACAATCATGGGCTTTAGATCGCTTTCGTGAGTGAGGTGAGTGCAAGAAATATATATATATATATATGTATATTTTTTACTGCTGGGGGAAATGAAACTGCATTTGCACGTATAAGCTTTAACTGTCTTATACCTGTCTACTGTGGTGTCAAAGCACGTGGTCTTTCATTCGTCGATGTCGCCTTTACATCACTAACACGAACCAAACGCTATCTTAACTCATCTGATCTTGTCAACTAAAAACATCCAGTGTGAGAGAAAATATTACCATTATTGGCTTATGGACGGTTCTTTTGCTTCGCATCCATTGTCTACATCAGGTACTGGTTTACAATACTCTACAGAAGGAGACGAGTGTTGTTGGGCTAAACTAGTTCCCGTTTTCTGTGAAAAATCCATGGAGTCTACGTGTCTCACGTAAACCCGCCGGCTTGCAAACAAACAAAAAACAAAATGCTTTGATGCCGACACAATATCAGGTAAAACAAGACTAAGACAAAGTGTCAGCTAACGCTGACACAAATAAGCATCATATCTCAGCTGACATTTTAATGTTTGACTATATAGGTGCCTCTTATTGCTGCGTTTATCTTTGTTTTGTAGGCCGGTTATCTTGTCAATCATTTATAAATTAAAATAAGTAATTTAAGCTTGATGCCTTACTAAAATCAGAATCGGTCAAACTTGCTGCCAGTTGCCCATAAAGCTTTTTTTTTTCTTTTTTTTTTTGATCTCGTGCGCAATTAGGCGATTGTGCATTATCTCACCGGTCGTATTTTCAAGGCGCCCTTCAATTTTTAATTTCTTGGATTCTTCATTTATGGCCAGTTCAGTTTTTCAGAATAAATGTTCCAAAATGAATCAATTCAACTCTCTGTCGTTTAAATCCTCGAGTAAACCTTACCCCAGCGAAAGAAAACCTGATGCAAAGCCAGAAGACGAGGAATTTGCAAACAGCAAAGAGAACCCAAGAACGGCGGCGGACATGAATGTGTAACTCCGTTTAAGTCGAAACTAAAGCTTAGTTATTTAATTTGATGTCTTCTATTTGCTTTAGCCTGAGTATCAAGGAAACTCGACTCCTGCAAGCTATGTTGCGAATGAATCTCCTTCTATTTTCTACAGGCTTTATGGCTTTGACGATATCATTTTGCTCCTCGAAATATTTACTAGGTGTCGTTATATAATTCCTTTTTAAATAAATAATTATCCTTGAATCTAATCCAAACCTTGCGTAAACCCTTTCAGAAATTTCTTATCCATTCTTTTAAGTAATTGAATTATGCAATTAACACAGGTAAAACTAAAGTTATAGATGCACGTGGTCAAAGTATCAGCCGAGGAGTTCACAATGGCGTCGCCTTTGCCAACTTTAAGTCCCACAAGTTCTCGTACCTAAACGTCTCAAGTCTTGGTACTGATTATGTCCTCGATGGAGATGAATGTGGTTTTGCATGCGTTTGCACACCGTCTTGTTTCTCCTATAACCTGGCTGCATTTTATGACATCAACGGAACAATGTTATGCGAACTGCTCCCATCTGACAAGAACAACAACTCGGACAAGTTCGTCAGCAGCCAATCTTTCCATCACTTCAGTGTAGTGGTAAGTACTCCAATGACAGCCTCTTTGAAATGCATTTTCATTTTTTTTTTTTTTTTTTTTGACAAGCTACTATCTTCAAGGTCTAGATAGACATTGGATCAAACTTTTTCAGCAACAATGTATAGTGACAGTGCAAATGTCTTAATATAACGGAATCAGATCCATGATTTGAGAGTAAGCAAAACACATCCACACAGGAAGATCTCTTTTCTGAAAATTTTCTGAAAATAAAAAAAAAATTAAAAAAACTGCGCCCTCATTTTTTTTTCTACAAAAATAGTGCTGTTAGGAAGGCTTATTTTCGTTTCACCGACATACATAAGTAAACACAACTACGAAGTCAAAACTCCAATCGAACTGAGTAGTTGCACTGCAAAACTTAGCAAACAGGAGACTCTTTCTCATTTAGATAAGAAAACAAATCGGCACAGCAAGATCTCGTTGCATCAAATTTTCCGGCAAAAACTACCGAGCCATCTTTTTTCCTTCAGAAAGAACCTGTTGAAAAGGGCGAAAAATATATTTAAAGGATTAGTGAACTTAAGAGACCTAATTTAACCGCCAATTACGAGAGAACACATGCACTATCTAAAGACTTAAACTGAGTGGGTAAGGCATTGAAGCTCGCACAACAAAGGCTAACAAACAGCTTAACTCCCTGTTTCATTGGTTTTTCATTAGCAAAAACCATTCAAACAGGAAGTTTCCGTCACTTAAACTTTATCAGGCGAAAATTGCGCATCCTTTTTTTTTTTTTTTTGCAAACACTGGGTAAAGAAAGCTATATTCTTTGTCTAGTTGTTTGCAAAATTTCATTTTGTGGAATATTATTGTCCTCAAAATTCTGAAAGAAACGAGATCGTGTGTTTAACAATTTCTTGTCTAATAAAGTTGAGGCATCTTTTGCCAACGTGTTTTTCATCATCGATCAAGCTGTATTAACTCCCAGCGGGAATGCTTTCAACCACATTGTTATTTATCGTATCTGATGGTGTCTAATGGGTTTGGCTTGGCCTTGATTAGCTTAGTTTAGCTAGCTTAGTTTACCTTCAATTAAATATCATTTTACATGTATTTCTTAGTCTTCATGTATGAGTGGACCATGCCAGAACGGTGGATCTTGCGTGTCAATTTATGAGAAGAACAGCTATCTGTGCCTTTGCGTGAAAGGATTCACAGGTAGTACTTGTCAAACAGGTAAGACGACGATAACACTTGAACAGTGTTCTCGTCAATATAATTTCTAATCATGCTCTAGGCTTCCCGACGTTCGCGAGAAAATTTCCAGTTGATAGATGTTCACTACAGGCAGATAATTAGTTTTTTGTGTCAGAAGTGCAAAGAAAAAAGCAAAAACAAAAACAAAAACAAAAATCGGGGGTCACCGACTTCGTTTCAGACATAAAGTGTGTGGAAAACTACCCTGATTTAAAAAAAAAATGGTGCACGTAATTCAGCATTGTCTACAGGGGTTTACAGTTAAAAAAATCGAAGGTGATTCAACGGAGGCAAACGATCTTAGTCATATTTTATAGAAGTGGGTCTGTTGCGAAAATAATTGCAAATGTTACCAAGGCTTTCACAAAACTTAAAGTGCACCTAACCCCCAATTTTTTTTTTTTTCGCTTAAACGAATCCAGTCGTTATTTGAAATACTTCTACGAAAAAATGTTTGGATTCGGTTAAATCCTCGATTTTCTGTGCCCCGACGAAATCTCGAAAATAGCCCCACTGAACACCGCCATTTTGTTTCACGATCGAGTTTTGAGGAGCAGCTGTTGTGACGTCTACCCAGGAAGGTCAAATATCTCACGTCCTCTCATTTCCTTCAGGATGGTGCAATATACATTCGAAAAGTGCACAAAAATGCCTTCCAGAAGTGCTATCGGCTGCTGCAGCAATATCCCAGGTCTAAAAACAGATGAACTGTACAATTTACTGGCGATGATCGGTCAACGGTACAATAAAGACATAAACGATGGTTGATTTTGTGGAACCGAAACGAGCGAACTGAGTCTGTGAGAACCATTAAAGAACTCTCACAAACGCTATTTTCAAAATTTTCTGCTTAAAGCCAACCAGCAATTTACCTAGATCTTCCAATCCCGCAGTATTTATGACATAGCCGGCAAAGTTGCGTGATCGATCAAGAAGCGTTACGACAAAATATACTGACATGTTGATAGGCCGCAACTGTACGCTGCCAACCAACACTTATTTCTCTTTCGATTTAGATAAAAGTCGAAGGTTAATCCTTTAGAATTACATGATAACAAAATTGTTACACTCACAGAGTTTTTCGAAGGTTTGGAAATCAGCAGTGCGACAAACATCCTATGCAATAGTGTCGAAAATATGCCCGCGTGCGGACCGCTTAGGGAACACAACCTTTTCGCTTATCCGACGAATTTCACTGCAAACTTTGCAAAAATTTACACTGGTTATTTGGAATTACGACTTAAAACGTGTGAAATCCGTAATTGTGTGAAATGTTTCCTTCCCAATTCCGCCTTGCTTCCCGCAGCATCCAAAGCAGTCCTTGAATTTTTTTTCCTGATTTTCGTTTGTATGCTCCTCCACTTCGTATCTAGGTTTCCATTCCTAATATGCAAGCAGCTCGTCCGCAAAGAAGTCTTCCCCGTCGTCGCTTGAAATATTGCAAATTGTCCTCAAAGCTCTAAGCAGTGAGTTCACAGTTGTCGAAAATGCTCGATCGAAGTTTATTTCAGTGCCTTTCGAATCGAAACCTGCGCAAGTCATCCGTATAAGAACAACGGAGCCTGCACAGACCGAGTGAACGGATTCAACTGCAGCTGCGCACCAGGGTTTAATGGCAGACATTGTGAAACAAGTCAGTTTAAACATAAATCACTATTATCCTTAATATTTTGAGTTAATAGGACCGCAACGCACACAATTTATTGTCAGTCAGTCACGTTTAGAGTTTGCTAAAAGTGCGCAACTATACCATTCAGCTAATAAAGAAAATCAGATAAAGACTGGTCCATTTTCGGTATAAGTAACATGGAATTTCAAAGGCTTTATAATAATATTTGTTGCGCACTTTTGCAGTGTATGTTGCGCGCAAAAGTAGGTGAAAAACGATTAAAAGTATTCGAATTGTACGTGACAGGCCTCCAAAGCTTTGATAAAAATGAAAACAAAAAAAAACAAAACAAAACAAAACAAGAAAAACAAGAAAAACAAAGTGCTTACAAAGGGCGATGTTTCGTGACCTTCGCTCATCCAATGCTTTTGCAACAGAAGTTGAAACTGCCGGCCTGGCCCTGTGAAACATTGCTTTCACCTGCCGCAAGCTTTGCGAAATATATTGCAGAAACGTCTGTTGGAACAAGTTTAACAAGTATCTTTAGCTAGGAATAGAACAAGAACATAAAAAAAAGACGCAGTGGAGGAATTTTACATTTTGGGATTTTGACGACCTTGAATTGGTATTATTGTAAATTGAGAATGCCTTCGCAGTGTGCAAAGTTACTATTGCTGTTTTTGTTCCGGGCTATTGTCATTTGCTGTTTCCTTCCAATCTTATCTTCTAAAACAGATATCGATGACTGTGCAAGTCATCCATGTAAAAACAACGGGACCTGCACAGACCGAGTGAACGGATTCAACTGCACTTGCACACCAGGGTTTCATGGAACACAATGTGAAACAGGTAACCGTGGCAGATAGAATCACCAGCTGTTTAATAATAGGGTCGCAATGCGGATAATCAATCAACACCTAATCAAACAGTATATTCGCTGTTTGACAGCCACAGAAAAGGGGCACACAACGTGCTGATTTTTCACAGTGCATTTAAGACTATTCAAGTGCCCCGAAGCAACCAACAGATGGTAATTTTTTGGGGAAAACATTGCCAACCAGAAGACATACATATCACACCCTTCTGAAAACCACCTCTAGCTGATTGGAGGCCTCCTCTTAAAATATTAGTTTATTATATATTATTATTTTTATTTACGCTTAGAGGTGTGGCTCCAGGGTCATATGCACGACCTTGAATTGATATTCTCGATACGTCAGCTATTGAATTGTCTCTTTCCGATTTCATCTTCAAAAACAGACATCGATGACTGCGCAAGTCATCCCTGTGAGAACAACGGGATCTGCACAGATCGAGTGAACGGATTCAACTGCACGTGCGCACCATGGTTTAATGGAGCACAATGTGAAACAGGTAGCCGTAGCCAATAGCATCACGGACCGTTTAAAAATAGGGTCGCAATGCTGATAATCGATAATGGTAATAAACCGTTGCTTGCTTGTGAGTGGATTATGATGAAGATGCATATTTTAGGGACGTTTCCACTTCCTTTTTCAAACATGAAGTCAATAACGGAGCAGTAGGAGAGAAGTAACAGAGCAATAATAGAGCATTAACATAGCATTAACATAGCAGTAACAGAGCAGTAACAGAGCAGTAACAGAGCAGTAACAGAGCAGTGACAGAGCAGTGACAGAGCAGTAACAGAGCAGTAACAGAGTAGTAACAGAGCAGTCACAGAGCAGTAACAGAGCAGTCACAGAGCAGTAACAGAGCAGTAACAGAGCAGTAACAGAGCAGTAACAGAGCAGTAACAGAGCAGTAACAGAGCAGAAATAAAGTAGTAACAGAGAGGTAACAGAGCAGTAAAAGAGCAGTAACAGAGCAGTAACAGAGTAGTAACAGAGCAGTAACAGAGCAGTAACAGAGCAGTAACAGAGCAGTAACAGAGCAGTAACAGAGCAGTAACAGAGCAGAAATAGAGTAGTAACAGAGAGGTAACAGAGCAGTAACAGAACAGTAACACAGCAGTAACAGCACATCAACAGAGCAGTAACACAGTAGAAACAGGACAGTACCAGAACAATAACAGAATAGTAACAGAGTAGTTACAGAGCAGTAACAGAGCAGTAACAATGCTTCAACATAAATGTAACACGATTACTGTTAAATTGTCATTTAAACAAAGCGGAGGCGTCCTTTATTTAGAACTGATGCAGATAAGCTATAGGAAGATTCACTATTTTGACTAGATTGACCTGTTGCTGTTCTGTTACCGCTCTGTTCCACCGTTCTGTGTCTGCATTATTACTGCTCTGGTACTGCTTTGTTACTGCTCTGTTATTGCTCTGTGACTGTTCTTTTACTGCTCTGGAACTGTTCTGTTATTGTAGCCTGCGTAGCAAGCGTTTCCGTGGGGTTTGGTAACAAAGAAAGACCGAGGAGCCCCCCGAGGAACGGGATTTTCGGTGTTTTGTCTGCGCGGAAAATGGGGCGAGAACCAAAAAAAAAAGAAGGAGGGGGTGGGAGTGGGGAAGGAAGGAAACGCTTGCAGACAAACCCCTGGATTTTGAAAACCTCCGTTCGCCAGCGAACGGAGCTCGTGATTGGCTGGGCTAGTCCAACATTATTGACATGTGTCGATCAAAGGTATTTTAATATCTTTGAGTGCCAGACAAAAGGGGAAGACGCGTTCGAAGCTTGGTTACAAAACGCTTTAACTTTTCTCGCTGAACGAGGATTTAGTCGTCAGCTTCGA